AATTATTTTATTTTATTTAAAAATTATGATATTTTAATATTTTTAATAATAATTTATTAAAACAATATCATTTCAATATATTTTTTTATTTAATTTTCCACTATATAAATTAATATTCTTTTTTTAACTTAATTTTTAAATTTCGCTAAAAAAATTTTATATTTTTAAAAGAATTATCTTTAAAACAAATGTTTTTTTTTGGATAAAATAAAAGAAATGCTTTTTAAATCTAGACAAACACCCTTCACGTCTCCCAATATCTTAACCCTTAGGCATAATGAGGTACGCGCACATTGTCCCACTCGGTATTTTGGTGGGTTTGAAGTTTTTTTTTTCTTTATTGGTTTGAACATTCAGTATCCAAAAATTTATTAAATTATTAATTAATTCAAATTTAAATCGAATAAAATCTAATAGACGAAAAAAAAGCTCTCTCTTATAAATTTTAATAAAATTATATTTTTAAAACTTAAAATTAAAACCCTTGATTAAAGTAAAAGAGTTTACCAAAAACTCATCTACACGTAAATCTGAAGTTAATTGAATTAAAGTTCCTCAATCAACGAGGCTGATGACAGAAATCTGCAGTAAATATCTCGCGGGCTCCATGAAATGATTTCGATACGTCACAAAAAGGGCTTGATAAGATTGTGGCGCTGTAAGGTAATTTGTCACGGCCTAATCTCAAAAAGATAAGTATAAAATGTCTAATACCCAGGATCCAATGATCCACGTGGTAGAGATCAGGCGTAAGAGGTAAAAATTTATTTTTAGTCATTTATTTTAATAAATTTATAAATTTTAATTTTAAAATTTTATTTTTAAAAAAATAATATTTATCCATTTTATTTTTTAAAAATTAAAAAATATTATTTTAAATGAGATAACAAAATCATGTCATATTTATTTATTTCATGAAGGGGTAAAATAAATATATTTTTTAAAATTAAAAAATTAAAAAAATACATTTAATAGATAAAAAATATATACAAAATTAAAAACTAAATTACATAAAATTTTAAAATTAAGAAATTAAAATTAATATTTACCCTCCTTTAAAAATATTTATAGAAAAAAATTGATGCCTCTCCCTCACATTTAATTTCTGGCTCCACTAATAGCTGTCATGTCCTGACACGTAAAGGACACATTTCACATGGCGCTGAGGTCCAGACTCTCACCGCCTAGTCTACAGCGTCTGAGCTGGTTAATAATTGTACATTGCCATCCACTCAACAATTGTACATTTGCACAGCGACACTTTCTGTCTTTTATGGGTTAATAATTGCTTTTTCTGAATTGCTTTTTCCGTACTTCTGCATAAAGTTGTACCTCGCTTAGCTTTGCCGGAAGGCAGGCAATTCCACCAACATTTTAAAAAACGTGGCTATGCAATGCGTAAATGGTGGGTGAGAGTGTAATAAATATATTTTTAATTAATTTATATAAAAATTTATTAAAATTAATATTATAA